CACTGGTGGACTAGCAGTGTCACCAGCACCTGGAAAGTCATGCAGCCAGCCAGCATCTCAGGCCTGTTGAACCAGCCTGCATGCTGATTCCCCAGGTGATTCACAGGGGTGGTGGTGAACAGTCAAGTCAGGACTAAGCCACAGCTGGCCCTCAGGTGGGTGTTCAGAGACAGTCAATCACACAGATGGAGATTGCTCATCCTTCTCCCATGGAGCAGCTGGTAGATTTGAACTGTGTGCCTTTGGGATTGCAGCAAAGGCTCTTACCACTAGGCCATCAGAGCTCCACATGCTTTGGAATATCATTGATCTAGAGTTGGTGACTAAAAGCAGTAAATGCAAAGTAGGAGTGTGGTCATTTGCTTCTGTGGTAGATAATATATAGCAGGACATAGCTAACAGAACAGGGTATGTGGAGGCTTTAAACGGAAGATGCTTGCAATTTCAGTCTAACAAGTGCACTGAGCTGTTAGGTGAAAGGATTTGGCTCCAACAGAGACACCATGTACACAGAACCAGACTCCTTGTACAAAGCCAGACCCCGTGGACACAGAATCAGACCCAGCCCAAACCTGGCCACATTTAACCATCACAACTTCCCTGTGAGAACGTGAGATAATTAAATAAAAACCAAATCACTAAAATGTAAATGTGATTCCTTGTTATTGTTATGTGCCATTGAATCACTTGCTATGTACAACAGCCCTAAACCCTGCTTTATCCTGTGCCAATTGCACTGCCTCTGACACACCCATCCCAATTACCCCAGTCACTGAATCAATCCACCTCATAGAGGGTCTTCCCCTCTTGCGCCGTCCCTCCACCCTCCCAAGCATGATGTCCCTCTCCAAGGACTGGTCCCTCCTTACAAGATGTCCTAAGTTTGTCAGACGAAGCCCCAGAATCCTTGCCTCCAAGGAGCAGCCTGGTTTAACCCTCTCCAAGATGTTTGTTTTCTTGGCAGTCCATGGTACATTTCAATACTCTTCTCCAGCACACAGCTCAAAGGCATCAATTCTCCTTCTATCCTACCTGGTCACTGTCCAACTCTCTGATGCATAACATGTGATTGCAAAAACCATAGCCTGTATCAGATGCACCTTAGTCTCCAGAGTGACACCATTGCTCCTCAGTACCCTGGAGAGGTCCCTAACAGCAAACTTTCCCATGGCAATGTTTTTTTATTTCCTGGCTACTGGTGCCAAGAGTGTTGACTATGGAGCCAAGCAAACTAAAGCTGTGAACAATCTCAATCTCTTCACCATCCATCCTGATGCTGCCAATTGGTCCAGTGGTGAGAATCTTTGTCTTCTTGACATTGAGCCTCAATCCATATTGGAGGCTGCAGTTCTTGACCCTCTGCAGCTGGTGCTTCAGGTCTTCCTCAGTTTCAGCAAGCAGGGTTGTATCATCTGCATAACGCAGATTGTTAATAGATCTTCCACCAATCCTGATGCCACATTTCTCCTCATAGAGCTCAGCCTCTCGGATAATCTATTCTGCATACAGGTTGAAAAGGTATAGAGACAGGACACATCCCCGGTGTACACCTTTCCCAATTTTGAATGATGCAGTGTTTCCCTGCTCTGTCTGATGACTGCCTCTTGGTCCAAGTATAGATTTCGCATTAGAACGATCAAGTGTTCTGGGATTCCCATTCTCAGAGTCAGCCATAGTTTGTTATGACCCACACAAACTTTTGCATAATCAATGAAACACAGATAGACATTCCTCTGGTATTCCCTGCTTTCAGCTAAGATCCATCTAACATCAGCTACAATATCCCTAGTACCGCGACCCCTTCTAAACCCAGCCTGGACTTCTGGCAGTTCTCTGATGTGCCGTTCCAGTCATTTTTGGATAATCTTCAGTAGAATCTTGCTTGCATGTGAAATCAATGATACTGTTCTATAGTTTCCACACACTGTTGGGTCACCCTTCTTTGGAATAGGAACAAATATAGATGTCTTCCAGTCAGTTGGCCAAGTGGTTGTTCTCCAGATTTCTTGGCACAACTTGGTGAGCACGTCCAGGGCAACATCTGTTAGCTGAAATATGTCAATTGGTATACCATCTATTCCTGGGACCTTCCTTAGAGATGCTAAATATCCCTTTCCAGGTTTATAGTATTATAATACAGGATGTTCTGACATGCACAAGTTGCTCTGTAATATTAAAATCACTTGGGGTACTGGCTGTTGCAAAGTTTATAAGGAATGTCCTTGGTTCAATGTCAAGTTGCTAGTATACTGTCAGAGCATTCCCTAACACTGCTCCCAGGTCAAGGCAGATCAGGCCTGTCCTAGGAGGGCCCTCTGGGTTTCTGGTCTGTTGTGTGACTCAACAGGCTATTTTACAAATGCCCGGATTGGCATAGCCATTCTCAAAAAAAAAATGTTTACGATACACTTCTCACCATGAACGCTGTGCACACACCTGTCTTTTTACTATTAGCCCAAAGGCAAATTATGAGTCAAAAGATTTACAAGATTTAAAGACTTGTCACATTCAGAAAGGCTACCACTTTACACATTAACCAATTTTCCCTGCCTACATTGTTCTGTGAATTTTACTCTTATTTGTCATGCGAAAGGATAGAAATATCCTTTAAATGGCATTTGGTTAGCAGTGGAGTAGCTTTTTTTTTTAAACGGCACCTTCATGTTATTTACTTGTGCTTATTGGTTCTGATGTGGGAGCTTTCTATTATCACCCAAAGCAACTCTGACCCAAGGATTAGAACTTCACCCTAACCTGTGCCAGCCTCCTAATCCATCCTTGACAGGCCCAAACCCATTCTGTTGACTCCTGTGTTTCCTTCTTTAAAATCAATTTTGTCCTTTTCCAATCTTTTAAGTAATTTTTCTTTATTAAAATCCTGATCAGTCAAGTTAGCTATAGATTCTAAAAGCATTTTTAATTGCTTTCAATCTAGTATGTCCTTAACCTAATTAAGGGTATCAAAAGTACAAAACAGACCACTATTCTATGCCATCAAGTCTCCTGTGACTCATAGCAATCCTATGCACAATAACTCTGAATCCTATCCTATTCTGAGCCAGTCAGTCTCTAAAACACATATCTCTATTACTTCACAAGTTCATCCAGGGTCTTCCTCTCTTGAGCTGTCCCTTGACACTTCCAAGCTTATGTCCTTCTCCAAGGACTGGTACCCTCCGGTCACGTGCCCAAAACAGGAAACAGAGCTTAAAAATTCTTGTCTCCAGAGTAACTTTGCTTCAACCTCTCCATGACATGTTTGTTCTCTGGGCAGTCCTTGGTATGTTCAGTAGTTCTAGAGCACATTTCAAAGACATCAATTTGTCACCCTTATTGTCCAGCTGATGCAAAGCAAATAATTGCAAAGACCATAGCCTGGATCAGGTGCACCTTAGTCTCTAGACTGACATCTTTTCTCTTCAGCACCCTGGAGAGGTCCCTGATTTACTGGCTGCTGGAGCCAAGACCATAGAGATGTTTTACAACTTTTCAAACAGTATATACTTTTGGTAGTTTTCAATTAATAAGGATTTAGGATTTATCTGGGTATTGAAGAATGCTCTAGAGAATAGGATCTCTGAATGGTACAACAGACTACTTAATAATTGCAGAGGAGGAAATGTACATAATATACATTAATATGTTAACCCAAAACTAAAATCTTAGAAGTGGAATGACTCACTGTGCTCTCTGCTGTCCTACAACACAACAGAGTATACAGTATCCCCCTAGGAAATGTTCTTCCTTCAAACCTCTTTAGAGCTAACTTTGATTTATAGGAAACAGAACACAAAGACCAAGTTAACCAAAATCCATCTGAGATGGCTAACTTGGCTCTGATAACCACCTAGTAGTTCCACAGCAATGAGCAGCAAATATATCCAACAGAACACTTCAGATGAACTTTCTACAACTGAAGTCTTATTGACTGGTGAGGTTTTCTGAAGCTCAGGCCTAGAGGTCCCTCGTAACACAAATGGTTAAATGCTTACCACAAACCATAAAGGTTGGCAGTTCCAAACCAGCCAGCTGTCTAGGAACAGATCTTGTCATCTCCTTTAAAAAAAGGTTCACATTTTGGTGTATCAAACAGGACTAGCAGTCAGGGTGTCCAGCCTGACTCAATGTGACCCTATGTATCCTCTGGGGAAGGTTCAAGCATACCATATCGTTTCAGACAGAATAGAAAGGAAGGCCTGGTTACCCTACTTCTCAATCAGCTGAGGCCCATGTTATGGATCACACAGTGGCCTGATCCCCACAGTGCATGGACGTGCTGTCAATCAGGTGGGTAAATCAGTGGCTACAAATCAAGTGTCACAACAAAGAACATTATGCACAGCAAGATGATGGTGCTTAGACCAGAGTAGCAGCAATGAAGATGTTTAAATCTACTGGAATAAGACTTACTATAAAGCCTCGGTGTGAAAAGGATTAGCTATGTATGTACATTTTATTTGTAGAAGATACCCCATTCTTGAGGAAAAGGCACTAGGACGACAGCTTGTTTAAGCTTTCATTATTTTATTTTGTACTTTTTTTTGTATAGCTAACCTGTCAAACAGTGTATAATTTTGGTAGTTTCCAATTAATAAAAATTTATCAGGGTGTTGAGCAATGAGGTGGTTTTCCGGCAAATACCCTTATTTTGAGAAATTAAAACAGATATATGCCTATGTAACATAAAAAAAGGAGGTTAAGTCCTCAGAATTAATCCAGCAGAAAATGAATATGCAAAGTGTTTCCTGCTTGGCTGGGGAGGGTAAAGAGAACTGTAAATAAAAATTAAGTCTATTAGAGAAGTGGGAGTAAATCAAGTTGGCTGTTGTTTGTTTTTGGGGTTTTTTTTAAACCAAACATTTAATGTTTTCATTAATCGTGCCAGTTACTTTCAACCAAATGTCCAAGACTAAGAGTTCACAGGGCAAACAATCTTCCAAACGGGGAACATCCAGTCCCGCTGCACTACTCATGGTCATCATAAGCCAGTGTTAGCCAGATTACCGAGTGTTCACCACGTCATCGATCTTCAAAATGCTCCGGACGGTTTCAGTTGCAAGAGTCAGAGCGCTGAGTGAAACCAACAGGGGCTGGACAACCAACTCTTCCAAAATGTTGGAGATTCCGCCCTGGAAGTCACACAAAATGCTTTACTGTGTCTGCAGGACCAGCCATTGTGCAATCACCAGTGCTCCTTCTCATGATTAGTTCAAACCAAGATTTCCCTAGCTGCTTTAGAAGATACTCGACTAAGCGCTTCTCCACATTACCTGTGGGCTGTGGTTCAAATAAAATTTGGAAACTGATCTTAATCCAAAATGCAATCAGATACATGACCGAAGAAGTTAATAGCTACAGTTGGTTTTTAACTCACCAGCTTCTCCCATGTGATTTACAGGTTTTGAAAACCTTCTAGGCGGCCAGCTACGAGTCAATTATGACTGGCAAACAATGAGCTGGGGTGGGGGGGAACCCCAACCAACCCAGTAACTTCTGAAGATGACCATCTAAATCCAATCTATTCTCCCTGTTTTAATTAAAAACAACAACAACAATGGCCTGGTCTTAGTCCCTTTTCTCCCAAGATGATGGCAGAGAGCAGTTCACAGTCTCAGTGCTTCCAGACTTCCCTCTTCAAAGTACTTTGCCTGAGACGCCTTAGTTCCCACCAGGAGGAGTGAAGATGACTGTCTTAACAAAAAAGGGTCTTGTTTCTGCACTGCCAATGAAGTCCCCTACATCACTAACTAAAAACCTCTGCTCTACACAAGCTCAGTAACATCTCGGTCTCTTACCCAGAGTAACTTCTGCCTCATCTGAAATGTCCTCAGCCCTAAAAGCCCATGTTCCACCATCATAAAACATTCCCAAACCACAAAGGATCTCAGAACAGTCATTCTGGTTTTTCACCCCCCCCCCCCTCCAATAATAAAGTGTTTCTTCAACTGGTTTTTTGAAAAAGATTAGTACTGTCTACGGTGTAATCCCACAAAACTATCCTAAGCTACAAGACACCAAATTTAAACACACAGAACAGACTATGTGCTGGGCACAATTCCAATAGCTTTCCAATTACTAGCACATTTAGGCACAACAAGCCCATAAGAGCAGGAAAGGACTCTTGTCATTTTTACAAGTAACAAAATCACAGATTACTTAAACTTTTCTTTTTTCATCCTATGGCTTAGGTTTAAATTCAAGCTAATTACAAGTCTAATTACAGACATGACAACTATGACTGAGTGAGTCAACATTGGTTAATCATGTTCTGCAGTAATTACAGATGAACCCATCACCTTTCGGACATTAATGCCTGCGGTTTTTTCTCCTTGAGCATGCCGGTTCCTCAGCTCAGTTACTGTAGAAATGGGATTCAGGCCTGCATTTTCAGCCAGTGTGGAAGGAATGACTTCCATAGCATCGGCAAAAGCACGGACACAGTAGGATTCCATGCCGCTCAGAGTCCGAGAGTATTCAGTTAATCGCAGGGCCAACTCGATTTCTGGAGCGCCACCACCTGCAATAAGGGCTCTGAAACACACAAACACAGTTTGCCCTTTTTATCCAGCAGATATCCACACTTAAGAGAGATTTCTCTCTCTCAATGCTGCTGTTAGAATCAACTCACAGCTAATCCTCCATTTAGTTTTCAGAGGCTATAAACCCCACAGGAGGTGACTGCCAATCTTCTCTCAGGGAACAGCTGGTGGGTTTGAACTGCCTGTCTTTGGGTTGACAGCACAATTCCTTACCCACTTCTCAGATGGTGTCAAGTCAAGTATGACTTATGCAGACCCTGTGACAACAGATCTGAATCCTCTCCTGCACTCATCATCTCACAGACTGGAGTCCATTGCTGCAGTCTCTGTGTCAATCCATCTTTTCGAGAGGTTTTGTCTTTTTTTGCCATCCCTCCACCTTTCCAAGCATGCTATTCCTTTCTAAGAAACAGTCTCTCCTAGCAACATGCCCCAAATATATGAGACGAATACGCACATATTATCACCAGATTGCTAATGTTCACTTAACAGTAAAATAATTAAAATTTAAGAGCAGCTGAACAGCAAAAAGAATTTTTTCAGCCTAGTGCTGACATAATAATTTTGTATATCAGAGATGCTTTGAAGCTTACACTTCAGGTGACCGGAAATTTTCAAACATTTTAAAAAATAACACGTTGGGGATATATACAGCAAAACATATCCCAATTCAACAATTTATTTATACAGATTTTATTAAGTTATACAATTCATTCTTGCTGTCCTTTTCCAATATTTTTCATTGTCTGCATAAACTCCCTTCTTTCTAACCTTTCAGTAACTTTTTGAGTTTGTTATCAATTTGATCCCAAAGAGATAATTCTTTAAAAAAGCAAAAGGAAGACATTCTTACTAATTAAGTTAAACTACTACTTGATGATTTCCAGGGACAGTTTTAAGAGTTAAACCATTATTTCAAGGTAATCTGGGAAGTTCATCTAGCCTCAATGGTTCCACTGATCAGGATTCCATGAAAATCTGCTCAGTATCCTCCATCCCAACTCTCTGCCTAGGATTCTAGTACAGAATCTTTTGTTTAGAACATTAAAGAGTAAGGAAATTTCCCTCACAGGCATGTGAGGATGTAATTACCTCTTTTTCACCAAACAGCGCAGAACACACAGGGCATCGTGGATGGAGCGTTCAGCTTCTTCAATCACCAATTTGTTAGAACCACGGACAACAAT